CATAAGGACAAGCACAAAGACGAGCCAGGAAAAGAGCCCTCACCAGACACCAACCCTACCAGACCTTGATCTTGGACTTCCAACCTCCAGAACTGACAAGATAAATTCTGTTGCTTCAGCCTCCTAGGCTGTGGGATTCTCTTCTGAAGTCAGGGCAGACTAATACACACACTAAACAGGAATAAACACTCCTCGGTGTGAGGAGGCTTTCCAGGGTAACTCTGGCTCCTAACAGTGACACAAGGACACTGAAATTGCTCCTGTCTGCCTCCCTGGAACGGCTCATCTTTCAAGAGTCAACTCCCATACAGGATCTGCTCCCAACAACATATGCACACACCTGCACATTGGCAAGGCACCCATCCAAGGGAAGAACACTATTCATACAGTGCCTCAGAAGAAAATGCCCCTACCTGGTAGGTTCTGATTATTTGCACCTACTGCCTGCTTAACAGTGACAGGGCTGAAAGAAAGGACTTAACCTTGAGTTCAAGTTCTATAGTCCTGGCTCTATCTCTGAGCCCCACTCTCCTCACATAGAAATAGGAACCAGAGCCAATTTCTGCCATGTTATTGAAAAAATTATATATCATGGCCATTGTGGGTAGTACTTTGTGAACTTTACAACCATTAGTATCTATTATTTTTATCTTATTATGGCATCTTAGGCCTTCATGAACAATCAGCTAGCAAAAGCATCCTCTTTTCCAGAAGCAATTACAATACAGAATGGGTTTCCTTTATCCAAAAGACTTGGGCCAGATGTGTTTCAAGTTTTGGATTTTTTTTTTCAGATTTTGGAATATGTGTGCCTTCATAGTGTGATATGTACATATCACCTAAAATGGAAACTCTGGGCAAAGCATTGTTTATTTTACTAGTAAGTTATTTACTATCAACCCTCTTCTTTCGATAGTTTGCATTTGTAACACTTTTAAGAAGACCCAAGTATAAACAAGAAATTCATTTGTTTCATATGTACCTACACACATAGCCTGAAGATAAGTTTATATGGTATTTTTTGTGCACCCTCATTCTGACTGCAACCTGTCACATGAGGTCAGGGGTGGAATATTCTACTTGTGGTATCATGTCAGTGCTCAGACAACTTTGGATTCAAGAGCATTTCAGATTTTCAGGTTAGGGCTCCTTGACCTGTACTTGAAGGTTCTCTTAGTAGAAAGAAGTAGGTGACCTTAAATAACTAACTTCTCAGCAGCATAACCAATTTTTTGCCCAGTTTCCAGCTGGGGCTGACACAGACAGATTCATCTACTGGAAAGCAAACATTCAGCCAGCTACCAGATGGTTATGTAGTTAGGTTTGGTTGGTTTGTTGCAGGTTAAAATGTAGGTACACAAAAAAAGTTTACATAAAATTACCTTCAGGCTATGGGTATGGGGTATACCAGAAACATGAATGAATTTTGTGGTTCTGTTTTGCTTTTAAGTTCAATTTTAAGGATTACAAATGATTCACTTGACAGAGTTTACTAAATAGTCCACAGACCAAATTCTCCCATTGTCTGGACATCCTGGAGACCAGGCTATCCATGGTATGAAAGAGGTTCTCAGCAGAGGTGCAAGGATTCTGGACATCTCTTATTACTACCACCTCCATGGGAACCCAGCACCCCTATACCCCAAGCCCAGCACTCAGTATTCATGTATTCAGGAAGCATATTGCACAAAAACTGTGATAAGTTGTTGTAAGCGGCAACACCTTTCAGTCCTCAGGCAGCTGGAGACTTAGCAAGGAAAAGATGAAGTCAAACAAACCATAGGGAAGAATGTCACAAATGCCAAATGAAAGACACAAAGAAAGTACTGTGGAGATTCAAGGACAAAGCCATCACCTCTTCTCAAGAGGGAGTTGGTTAAGATGTTAAAAAGAAATGGCCAGCAGGAAGGTTGAGAACTTGAGACACCCAGGGGTTGAGCAAAAGAGCCAAGAAGGGAACACAAAGGCTAGTCAGGGACAGGGGTACCACTATAATCCCATCATAACACTGCCATGTCAATCAAAAGAACTTTTTCATTCCCACTGCCAGGAGGACTGCCAGTCCTGAGGCAGCAAAGCATGTGCAAGTCTGTGTGTGTTTGCATGTGTTGGGCAGGGTATAACTTAACAATGTTGTTTACTTTCAGAAACAAACCTACTTTGGGATTTGTTCAAAGTGAAGTGCAGAAAAAGTCTAATTTTTTAAATGTACTATTAATGACAACTTATAGCTTACAGTAGCTGCATACCTTTGATAATCCGTTAAAGGGCTGCTTTGACCACCTTCTCAGTTGCCTTAACTTGCACATCAAACAACACAAATGGCATCAATCTTTAGCTTAGGCCCTTAGAAAACATGCAGCAAACTGTTTCCATCACTCATTTTAGGAAAGAGAAACAATTTAGAAGCACCATTTGCAGTCCCTCTGGATGGGAAAACTAATTTCGTAAGCCTCTGGGGGGAGTTGTTGGGAGTTTCCAGTTCATTTGTGAGAAAAGTTAGCTTACTAGTTTTCCCAAGCATCCCTCACCACCCTCCCCTGCAGCTCTAGCAAGCAATCTTGAGCTCTTAGGTCATTAAGCCTCATCTTTAATGCTAGAAAACCCTTTGCATAAGCCCTGTCACCTCCAGTGCACAGTGCAAGCCAGTATGAGCAGTTAGAAGCATTGTGTCCCAAAGAGCAACACACCCTGGTCTTGCCAGGACAAATTAAGTTAATTCAAGTGCTCATTCTGGGCAATCAGGGAGTTTTAGGATATTTTAAAAGGTCATCCAGTTTGTTCACACACAAGGAAGATTTCTAGTGCATTTAATATGCTTCATAAGGCATTTCTCAAACACTGTGTACATAAGATCTACTGTTGGAAAAAGCTCAGTAACCTCCAATGTAAATGACAGAGGTCAGGAATATGACAGGGTCAAATGGAGCTGGAATGAAGGAGATATAAGCATGTCAGAAAGCAAAACTCAAAGCCAGGAAATGGACCACAGCTACTTGACAAGGGTCTTTCACAAGCTCTGCCCATTTTTAAAATCAATTTCTCCACAAGTGGACATGGGATTATGAAGAAGTCAATTAATTCTCTTACGGCAATTGACCACCCAGTTCTACCTGGCCTGTCATGTTCCACCCCACTCCTCATGCAGCAGCTAAGAGGCTCAGAGCACAAGAAAGGAAGTGAGACAAACACCTCCACAGTCTTATCACTGCTTAAAGATCTCAATTTCAGCCTTGGGTAGCCACCAGCCCACTAAGAGCAGGCTGCTTTCTTCAATCAAAACTACACCCTGCCTGTAATCCTAGTTACCCAGGAGGCCAGCCAGGGTAAATAGTTTGAGAGAGCCCATCTCAAAAATACCCAACACCCAAAAAAAGGGCTGGTGGAGTGGCTCAAGCAGTAGAGCACCTGCCTAGCAAGCTTGAGGCCCTGAGTTCAAAACCACCAAAAAAAAAAAAAAGTACACCTCACCTACTTGGAAGAAAGAAGTACTAAGGCAGGGTTTCCCCTGCTTCCAAACGTCTAAAAACCTACATCCAGAGCCCATGCCTGGGTGAAGTATTCTTTCTCCACGTGCCCTCAGACTGCCATTCTCTTTACATAAGGCTCGCACGCGCTTAGGAAATCCTATTATCAATTCACGCGTTTTACCTGCGAACACTTGGTAGTGAATTAAGGGAATGCTCCCAAGCATAGTTTAGAACCGCTTTGATAAATCATAGCAGTCCAGGTTTCTCTTTCTTTTTTTTCGGTCACTTATAAGACTTGAAAATCGTGGCACGAAACACACCCGAATTACTTTCGTTCCTACATAAAATCCCTTCGGAGAAGTCTGGACTGGACCGGTCCATTAAAGGACTTCCCTACCAGTGGGTCTCGGGCAAGCCACGCCCACTGGCCTCGGGATTCAGTTTCTCTTTGGGTTAAAAAGAAAGCAAGGACCCGACAGACCATGCGGGATCCTGCTCATCCCATTACAGACGCACACTTGGCAGAATCAGCCTTAACTGCTGGCAAAATAAACAAAGCCAAATAAAGGGGAAATGGCCAACCTGCAGGGCCTGTGGCCAAAGCCTGCTTCACTTAGGGCCCTGCTTTGTCCCTAAAGCTGTTTACAATACTAGTTTAAGTCAGCTGCCCATGAGCCAATGACCCCAGCATCCTGCGCAGTCTGGACAATCTTATTGTCTACAAATCAAAGTGTCTTGCAAATTAAACCCCTCTACACAATGCCCAGCTAACTGCACTCTGAGTGACCGTCAGTGCCTTCAAAGTCATACATCAAATTCTTCCAGAACCACTCGGTGGTTAAATCGCCCTGAATACACTGAGAGGGCAGATCAGTTGGGAGAAACTTTGGTTCAGGTAGCTCCAAGTGTTGGAAATCCGGGGCAGGGCGCAGAGGCTGAAAGCCCGCACAAAAGCGCCCTTCACCAAGGAAAGGACCTCCTTTATGCGATGTGACAGCAGCTTTGTGCGGGATCATAAATAGTTATAATAAACACAGTAAGTTCTCCCGGCCCATCGCGGCCTCCCGTGTCCTGGCGCTGGGGCCCTGAGATCCTCTGCTATTCTTCTCAAGCACACGCGCCCGGTGACCCCGGCCACCGCACGGTCCCATGCCCGCCCCGAGCTTCGTGTCCCACGTCCGCTCGCAGGCCGAGCGCAGCCTGCGCTCTCCGGAGCCCGTGCTCCGCCGTCCAATCCCCTGCCCGGTTCCCCCATGAGCCCTGGGAGGGCGCCCCCGCCCCCACACCGGCCCCAGAGCAGGGAGCAGGGAGGGCGGGGAGGAAGGTGTGCAGTCGGGAGATGCCGGGCAGTCAGCAGCTAGGGACGCCCAGGCCGCAGCCGGGCCGAGGGCAGCATGCGGGCGCGGAGAGGACCAGCTCCCACAGCCCCTTCCCGGGCGCGCCCCGGCCGCCACACCAGCCGCGCTCCCAACTCCGCCCAACGGCCCCAAGTTTGCGGCCCCCGCCGCGCGCCCGCCCGGCCGCGCTTACCTCGCCGTGGGCCGCCTGCCGAGGCCGGAGGGCAGCGGCGCGGGTCCCGGGGCGGCGGCCGCGCTGCGCCCGCCCAGGCGCCGCTCTTTGTCTCCGACCCTCCCTCCTCCCGCCGCCGGGCGGACGCTGCCGGCCCGGGCGGACCCCGCCGGCCCGGGCGCCGCGAGCCTCCCAGCCGCCAAGCCTTCCCCGCCGCCCACTCGGCCGCGCGGCTCCGGCCTGACGATCCCCGCGGCAGCGGCGACGGCGGCGGTGGCGGCGACCCTCCCCCGGCGCGCAGCGCCCGCCTCCTCCGCGCTCTTCCTCCTCCTCCCGCGCTCCTCCCCGACCGCGCCGTGTCGCCGCCCAGGGCCGGCCCAGACCGGCACGCGCGGGGCGGGGGCCGAGACCCACCTGGGGGCGCCCCGGCGCCGCCGCCGAGCCCCGCGGCCGGGCCCTGGCACGCGCACGCGCTCCGCCAGCCGGTTCCGGAACGCGCCGCCTCGGGGCCGCCTCGCGGACCGCGCGTGGAGAGGAGGACTCGTCCCCAGCCTGGACCTGCCCGCGCGCGGGGTGGGACGGGGTAGGGTGGGTGACGCGAGTGAAAATGCAGGCATCAACTTCCAGCCCCTGGGGACTGCCAGCGGTCTTGCATCCTCTTTTTTGTTTGATTTTCTTATCACAACAGCCTAGTTGTTTGGCGACCGCCCCCCTCCCGGAAGCATTCCCACGGCACTCTCAGCAAAGCAGGCCTGGTGTCCATCAGAAAAAGTGACTTACATAAAAATGTCACTTCCTCCCTGTAGTTGCTTGTGGGCATTTTTATTTATTTGCCTTGCATTTATTTACTTTCCCAAGCAGACACGTTTTTACTCCATCCTTCCCGTCGGGGCCACTTCCTCAAGGGAAGAGAGGAAACCCGACCTTCACTGCCTGGCAGGCCAGCTCCAGCCAGTGGGATTGTGCTTGCATACCCTAAGTGACTCGTAAGGCTGTGGGAAGGAGTCCTTCCTAATTGCGGGACCTTCAACTCATTCAACCTCGAGTTGTGTCTAACCTGTAAGCAAACTTGGAAGATCAAAACCAGGAGCAAGGGCAAGACAGTTTCCCTCCCACAGGCACATGAATCCAGATGTATCTTTTCCAGTCTCCTTCCCATAAGGTTTCCCAAAGGAAATCCTAATATTCAAATGATTCTGATTTCCTGCTGAGATAGCCAGTACCCCTGTCAATGAAATGCTTTCCTAGGCTCCAGGCTTTTGTTATTTTAAGGAGGTAACAATTCACCCAGGGTGACCAGGAGGTATTATATTCACTCTCTCCCTCTCCACCTCCTTCCCAGAAGGAAGTACCTGAGCTTGAGTACTTAAAGATGGTGTGGCGCTGTAGTCAGGCAGAGGGATGTTTGCCAGCTTCCTCCACGCCTCACCTTACACAGGTGTTTCTTAACCTTTCTAAAATTTATCAAATAGGATAATACTTGCCTAACCCCTATGTAAAGTACCTGGCTGGCTGCCTGGCAGTAGGACCCCCTCAGTTGCCCAGCAAGTGGAAGGAACTGCAAGCACCTAAGAAGCATCAGGAAATCTGACCACTGTCTCCTCTCATTGGGAAAGAAGCTATCTCTCTTCATTCCTTTGTGTGAACCTCATCTTATTAATATGTAGCTTTAAATACGGAAAGCTGGATTCTACTCAAAAGACTAGCCGCATTTTAAATTACTTTACTCAAGATAGTTATAACAACATTGACTCAGTTTTTAACTTGTTTGCTTAGACATCCATTGAGTCTCAGTTCTTGCACTCCTTTTCCTTTTCTGACTCTTCGTAAACTTCCCAATGGCATCTTCTATCTAAACTCAATGGCCCGTTCTCAAGTTTTGTCCTACCCAGTTGTCTGGCATGTGGCATTTCTTTTCCTTTATTTAAGATGTTTAGTTCTGAGTCTGTTGCAGTTTTGACCTGCTCATCTCTGTCTCCTTGTAGGGGTAAGTTTTCTTCCCAGCCTCTAACAGCAGTATTCTCAAAGCAGATATGGCCCTTTGTTTTCATTCTGATATGCACTTGTTTTTGCAGAGTTGGTCATCTTCTGTGTGCTTATGGGCCGGAATTTCACTGTTTAACTTCAAGTGCCTTAGCAGCCCCCAGCTTATCTGCCCTTCCTGCAGGTGTTGTTTCTTACAGATCTCACTTCAAAATAAAACTGGTCTCCTTTCCAAACCAGCCACCCTGCCTCAGTCTCCAGCTTGGGCCAGAGTCCAGGATCCCAGGAGAAACCTCCATGCGTCTTCACATCTTCCTTCCCTCTTTCTCAGTTCCCTCTTTCTCAGTTCCTCCCAAGGGAAGGGAGGAGAGGGCACTAGATGACCCCAGAAGCCTGTTGAACCCACTCCAATGATTCTGGTTCCTCGAGATCCCCAAATCTCTCTCTCTGCTCCTTCTTTTCCTTTTCCAACGTTTTCTAACGTGTATGTCATTCCCAGCAATACTTACCAAATTCTTGACAACTGCCAGCACAAATCCACACACAATAGATTTATCCCTGTTTTACAGATGCAAAAACTGAAACAGTAAAGGAGAGAGCTAGATCAGAACTATATTCTGGGTCCAAGCCTCATGAGTTTTTTCCCCTTCACCCATTGCCTCCCCACTGCTCTCCCATTAGTTACGCACATCTTGCTATTCCTCACGTTCATACTGGATATTGATGTCATAGTAACTTTCCTAAAAACTGCTTGTACCTGCCTCTCCCTTGCTCAAGAACTTCCCATGGATCCCATTGCCTGCCACAGTTTCCTCAAAAAGTCCTCTCATAGCAGAAGACTGGAGCATTTGCTCTGGAAGGCTGCAGAGTTTAGCTCTGAGAGGCTATATTTGTCCTGGGACTGCCTCAACAAATTAGATCAGGTGACTTAAGACAGAGTTTACTGTCTTAAAGCTCTGGAGGTCAGCAGTCTGAAATCAAGGTCCAGCCTCTCTCCAAAGGCCCTAGAGAATCCTTCCCTGCATCTTCCAGTTTCTGATGGCTCCAGGCTGTTCATGGCTTATGACACCATCGCTCCCAACTCTGCCTCCTTTGTCTCCACATGCCTAATCCCTGTGTGTCCTCTCCCCTTCTCTCTTTCTATAAAGACACTTTGTCCATGAATTTAAGGACCATCCTAATCTCATCTCAAATCCTTAACTTACAACATCCTCAAATTTCTAAACTAGGTCACATTCACAGTTTCCAGGTGAACACATTAGGGCCCAACACTACAGGACCCAACAAAAGGTGGCACTTCTTTGAAGCCTGAACTTCATCTAAAAATGTAAACAGTATGTATTTCTGCATTCTACTTCACTAATGTGTCCACTTTGCTATTAAAATGTCTTCAATAAATGACCCAAACATTGTATGCACATATGAATAAAATAAAAATTAAAAAAAATAAGATAAAATGTCTTCAATAATACAGTATGGAAACAGCAAAAAGTGTAAATCTTTTGCCTAAGATCACACCAACTTTATGACTTGTTCTGCAAAGGCCTCACAGACTTAGTCCTACCCCAACAAATGATCTCCTTTCTAACTCTACCCAATATAAACTGTTGGCTTTGGTCACGCTATACTTCCCACGGCACCCCACTGAGCCACAACAATTTATGCCTCCTACAGTATGCAGTCAGTTGGGAATTCTCTATCTCCTTCTCCTCCTTGAGAATTCCATCTAGATCCCCTCCAAACCTTTCCTTGAACCCACGGAAAACACAATGTAAGGGTGAGGATGCTATGCATGTCAGACTTCAGAGACCCAAGCCTCCCTGACAAGCCTGTGACTTGAGGTCATTAAATTCTCTTGGCTCAGGTAGCACAGTTGTCCCTGAGTATCTGTGGAGATTACTTCCAGGATCACCATCCCGCCCTATACCAAAATTCACAGATGCTCAAGTCCCTTGTAGAAAATGGCATAGTATTTGCATATCACCCACACATCCCTCCATACACTTTAAATCATTTAATGCAATTTACAATACGAATACAACGTAAATTAAAATGCTCTGTGAATCTCATTCTACTGTATTGTTTAGGGAATAATGACAAGAAAAAAAATGTCGGTACATATTCAGTACAGATACATTTATTTTCAACAATATTTTCAATTTGTGATTGAATCACAGATGCAGAATCTGCAGAGATGGACTCTGACTCCAGTAGCACTCTTCCAAAGAACTATGCTGATTAAATGAGATAAAGCAAACATGTCTCAACTATGTGCTAGTACAAGGTAAACACTCAGGGCAGCTTGTCAGTGACCTTTTGTCTTAACCCCCAATTCAATTAAGCATGTCTGGTATGTTTCTGTTTGTAAGGCATCCTAAAATTCAATTCAAGTTTCACTCATTGGGCGCAAACACCAAAGAACATCTGGGGGTAGAAAACACAGATGTAAGTTTGTATTACTCAGAGAGGTAATAGACAAGTAGAGTGGAGTGAGTGAGTTCCAAAATAGTTAAGCAGAAATTGAGAGGAAAGACACAAAGGGGTTAAGGAAGCCACATGCAATAACTATAATATGAAGCAAAATATGAACAGAACCAAACAGAAGACGTCCTGTGAGTCAGGAGAGGCTTTTGCTTTATGCGAGGTGCTAGCTAGTATAAAATGGGCCAGGAGAATGTAGGAAATTACCAGAATTTGGCTGCCCCACACCCAGTCCCTTTCCTCATTTTAGGGAGGCCTCTGTGTGAACTTTAGAGAGAGGCAGCGGTGGGGGGGGGTGGTTGCCTCCCTCTCTCCATCCCACTGAGCCCTTTGAGAGGGAATGGCCAATCGGCCAATACAGCCTCCCACTCCCACTCCCAGCCTCCAGACTTTGAAACTGGAGAGGGTGACAAAGACAAAAGAGGGTGAGATTTAACTTGTTGTGGCCAAAATGGTACCAGCACTTTCCCACAGCAGCAATTAACCTAACCCATTTGCTTCTCACTCCTCTTACTTCTCTTATTTGATATCCTTCCAAAAAATTCTATTCTGCTTAAGGTAACCAGAGGTACTTTCTCTTCTTTTACCCCAAACCTCTGAATGATAGAAAATGTAGGAGTTTGAAAGATGGGGACAGACAGGGAGAAATTCCCAGTGGAGGGAACTTAGAACTCTGCAGAGAGATGGACTGTGGCAGGACCCCATGGGAATAGGAATGGCCCTTCTGTCTACAGGGAGCTGAGGATTCTGGAAGAGGCTCCTGAGTGGAGGCCAGGAGAGGGGCAGTCAAGTGGAGACATCCTGAAGCTC